TGATATATGGTAATAAAAAAAGTATTGAGAAATAAAAATAAATAAAATGCTATTCATAGTCAATTATGCATTTGTGAGTCAAAAATATGAACTGAACGTGGTGGCTCACACCTACAATCTTAGCTACTTGGGAGCCACAGATCAGGTAACACTTGAAGGCCAGCTGGGGCAAAAAGTCAGCACAATCCCATCTCAACCAATAAAAATGTGGGTGTAGTGTTGGAAGCCTGTCATCCCAGCCACATGGGAGGCAGGAACAGGATTGTGGTCCAGGCCAATCCAGGCATAAAAGTGAGACCCTATCTCAAAAATAAATAAAGCAAAATGGACTGAAGGCATAGCTCAAGTGGTAGAATGCCTACCCAGCAAGTGCAATGGTGAGTTCAAACTCTAGGACCAAAAAAAAAAAAAAAAAAAAAAGATGAATCCACAGAAGATAGATCTAAGTAAATTATACAGCTCATCATTTAAAGACAATGAGCTAGTCAGAAAAATTAAGGTGAAGTTAAAGCATATGGAGGAGTTAAGATGTAACATAACTTAAAAGTACAAAAAAGAAAAACACTAGAGATACCAAAAGCAAGGAAATAACCAAAAAGATAATAGTTAAAGAAGTTATGAAATATGAACTCACAAAAGAGAAAGCAGACAGGATGAAAAGAAACCCACATCTAAATGCAGTACAGTGGAACTAAAACAAGGACAAAATAAACAAGAGACAAAAACATCATCTGCCAGTTTGCAGACAACTTTTGAACAAAATCAATGGAGTCATTAGACAATGGAATACTATCTTCTGAAAACTTGTTTTCAGATTTTTAAGTTTATGACTGACAACCCTTCGCCAAAAGAAACTTTATTTTGTTTTGTTTTGTTTTTTGAAACAGGGTGTCACTATGCAGCCCATACTGGCCTTGAACTCAATCATCTTGCCTCAGCCTCCTGAGTGCTGAGATTACAGGCACTGACTTCATCAAAAAAAGGTAAAAAGAAAATGACTTTCAAAATAAAAGTGTCAGATGGAAAAAGAAATAATAATAATAGTTACTATTACACATAGATCAGAGAGAAGTGATAGATGGTAAAGATATTTCTTTTCCTGATGGACTGTTCTGAACATCCACTTTGGAGACCACTAGGAGAGAGCACAATGCTGACTGCAACCTCAGGAGTCTTGTTAAAACCACAAGGTAAGTCACAATTTACTTGTAAGTTTGGGATAAGGAGAAAGGACAGGGCACTCCAGACAGAGGAAATAGTAAAGTTTCAGAAAAAAAGAGTTAAGGAACACACACATTGTTCGTCCTCTCATAAAGTATATTGTATCACTGGGTATGTTCTTTTAAAATCTCTAAGCCAAAAACAAAACATGCAAACTACCTATAGAAGCAACAGCATCAGGACAGTTAACAGTGGCAGGTGTGAGAGATTGCTTATAACCTTGGGGCAGGTCACTTAACTTTGTGAAGGCTCTGGCCTTAAGTTGTAATGTCTACCCTTGCGTATGTCACTAACACGTTTTGATGATAAATGAAACAATTCAAAGGAGAATGTGATAGGCATTTATCTCTTATACACTAACAGTCACTGAGGTAGGCAACTGGCAATACAGACAAAGCCAGCTGGCAATAGAGTGTGGCACTATGGTACTGTGGCATGTGAGGGATGCACAGGACACTGAGCTAAGCTGAGGCAGTGGCAGATGTATGCTGTCCTCTTGCCTTTCCACTCTATTAACGATAATTCACACTGGACAAACCACTGATGGCAACCTTACTTAACTCAAGTACTTGCGATAGGTATCACCACAGAGTTCAGATCTATCAAGACTCACCAAGAGTTGTTTTTTTTTTTTAAAGGTTTTTGAACCTAACCAAATTCAATTTTAGAACATCTCAAGAAGCAGTTAGTCAACTTTTTCATGTTGATCATAATTTCACCACAAAAAGCTTGCCAGGCCATTGTTGATACATAAAACAATAACCACAATTTTTCCAAAACATTAATTATTTTTATTTCATTGAAAAGCATTTAGAGAAATAGTAATATATTATCTATATCCATGAGTAATCTAACAGAAGAAAAAAGAGACCTTTCAAGTAAGTATTCTTTTTCTGAACTTATCGCTTACAACATAAAATCAAACACATTTTGTAAAGAGTCTATAATCTGCAACATGTCTTTTCTACTTCACTACCAAGTCTTTATTACCTAAAAGTTAATCATTGGTTGTTCTGTTGTATTTAGCCTATGTACAAGGCACACACAAATCCTTTATCAAAGAAAAATACTCCTGAAAAAATACACACAGAATATTCTCAAAGAAAAGTAATTCTTTCTCACTCCACTAAACACAGCAGTAATATAAAAGAGATCAGAGCTATACCATTCTCCTTTTGAATTTTAAATTTATCCTGAATATGTACTAGTGGCACTGGAAAGAGTATATATTCCCAAGGACACAAAATCCAAATATATTGTAGGCATGTGGTATGAATAAAAATTTTTACATTAATTGCAAATGTCAAATACCAAGGTATTTTTTAATATTTATTGATTTTAATGTCTAAGAGTAATAAAGTGAATTAAGTTACTGTCTTTGTATTCCAAAAGACCTAGAAGTCTTTAATCATACAAACATAAATTTTTCCCATGTATTTGTTAAAATGCCACTTAAAAAAATGTACTGCCATACCGGCAGTGACAGATGAGCTAACGAGCAGGTTACTTCACTGCATAGATGAGAGGTAAGTAAGAATGAATAATGCCATGGACTACTAACCAGAGAGGAAAGACAGAGTTCAATAGTAATTTGATAGCCACCAGTGGTGGCCCCTTTGATAAACACCTGCAACACTTATAAATCAATTTAGCCCTATTTACACTGCCTCCTACTGTACATTTGGGATTACATTTATCTCTTCTGTAAACTCTTTGAGGTGAGAAGCCTTGTCTTAAATACTCCTGCATCCCCTTCCAGCTCAAAAACAGAGTTGAATGCATTCTTGTTGATAATTAACAATCATAATATGATAGCTACTTTCCATGACAATTAGGAGGTAATTAGGATATGGGTAACGTAAGCTAAATGGAGACACAGTTGTGACCAACACAGTAAGGAACAAGACCATAAAAGTGACTTTGAAATAACAGGTTCAGAAAAAGCAAATAAGTTTATCCAGCATAATCATTTTCAGAAGGTGCCCATAACAAATTTATCACGCTACTATCATTTAGCTTTAAAACCTTTTTGTTGTTGTTGTTGTGGTTTGGTCTGACATGTGATGCTGCATTTTGTTCTATTCCTTGAAGCATATTTCTGTAATACTATCTTATGTCTGTGTACTGTATCTTAATTCACACAAGTAGAAGAACTGTACTATTCAAAATCCAAGACAAAATAAAAACAATGTATTCTTCCACTCCTGGGTTAACACACACAGAATTTTGCTAATAAAAACAAAGGTCATTGTCTGTTTTACTTTTCATTCACACTCCTGAAAGACAGGAATTTTTTTTAGAATTCCTGTCAGAAAAATCCTGTACCAACCAACTCGGCTTATCATCAACTTTAACAAAATTCTTCATCTTTTTCTCTGACCTTTTTCAAACACTCAACCAAAATTATGCACCAATTATATTTTTTGAACAACAGTTATGATGCAATTAAAGTTCTAACGTATGGTAGTGGCAGCCTTACAGTATCTTTATCTGTTTAAACGCATGACACAGGAGAGGACAAAAGCATACTCAAACATCTTTCCGGGTCTTCTAACAATGGTTTCTTACTAGAATTTCTTCTCCTCATAAATAATTATATTAATTTTCTGCACTCTCCTACTCTCCAAGATTAAATAAGATGTTTCTACCCCATTCAACCTTTCAAGAAGTGAGCTTGTGTGTCCTCTCTCTCCTATCTTTTGTCTAACAACACCAAAGCACTTCATTATTTTTATTTTACCAGCCCTATGAAGTCAATGGTACATCAAGCACGGGAGGGCTGATGAGTTAACCAGACAACCAGAGAGCTCTGGACAGCCAAGCAAAATTTAGCACCCATCTAGATCTTTAAAACTAGTCAGAAAATTAGTCAAGACCCTGTGAGGCCTTGGGGTCCCTTTACAGGTCATGGAGATTTTTTTTATTTTTTTAAATACTGATGCACACAAAAAAAAACCTTTCCCACAAAGGAACCTGCGCACACACACACACACAACTGTACTTTTCAGAAGGTGGAAATGCAACTGATCTGGTTCCTTTTCAGTTTGCAAGAGTTCAAACACCAGGGACATCTGCATCTTGATAAAAACTCGAGGGCAATTTGATCAGACACAGAAAATCCTTCCCTTCAAACAAACGCACCTTGTGTCACTTGAAGAGGAGGAGAGAGATTTGAAGTAAAACCTGCCCTGAATCATTACCACTGACTGGAGGAAGAGAAGAAGAAGGCGGGGATGGGGGGGAGGGGGCGCCTTGGAACATTATGCTCTAATCTCAGGACCCCCAGAAACTGCTGGTGAAATTCTTCTACACAGTCTGTACTGAAGAGTGTCACAGCAGTATAAACTCCTACATTCACGCGCCGTCCTTCCCCCTTTGGTGCCCATGACCCAAAATGTGAACACCCCGTTACAAAAAGCAAAGTCATGGGGCAATGCGGGGCGGGGGGGTGCAAAGGATTGAAAGCAAGACACAGGTAAGAGGGAGCTAGCTCGTGGGCTCCGGGAAAGCCACGGCCACATGCACTCGGGCGGGGACAGGAATAAAGCGATCCTGAGCCCACTGTGCCACCTCCCCTGCCCTCCATCACTCCATCGTCCCCAGGAGGACCACCTCCGAGCAGAGGGCGCCCCTTACCGTCCCCACCTGCACCCTGGCGGGGAAGGGAGCCAAATGGGTTTGGAATGAGCCGGGGCTGAGCAGTGGGTGAGGGTGGAAACCCTGCGGCGGGAGGACCCTAGCTAGACCCGGCCACGGGGGTGGGGGCTGCAGTCACTCACATTCTCAGTGTCCCGCTCGTTCACCGTCGGCAATGGCGTCCGGGCCGACATCTTGTGCGGGCGCCGGGGTCGGGCCGGGGTCTCGCGGGTCGGGCTGGGGCGCGGGCCCCGGAGGGCGCGGACGTGAGCACAAGGCCGAGCCGGGCCGGGCGGCAACGGCAGGCCGCGGCGCGGTGCAACAAGCGGCCCGGCGGGGGCGACGGGGACGAGGACGCGGAGGAAGGGGAGGGGGAGTCGCTTCCCGCGGCGGCGCCGCCGGGGGGACGCGGGCCGGAGCGAAGGCGGTTGCCCCGCGCGGGCCAGCAGGAGGCGGAGGGCTAGGGGTGCGGCGTCGGGGCCCCGCTAGGCTGCCTGAGCCATGGCTGAAGGTGAACCCAGTCGGCGCCTCAAATCACTGCCAGGCTCGTCCCGGAGCCGCGGCCCTGACAGCGCCGCCCGCGCCGCGCTCCGCGCCCCGCCTCAGGTGTGCGGCGCCGCCCGGCCCCGCCGCATCCACGCGCCCGGGCCCAGCAGCAGCAGCAGCAGCAGCAGCAGCAGCGGCAGAGGCGGCGGCGGCGCCCCGACTCCGGCGCGCGCGTCCCGGTCGGCCCGCGCGGTCCGCGCCGCCGCCGCGCCTCAGCCTGACGAGCCGCCCGAGCCGGCTGCGCGCGGAGCGGCGGGCGCGGCACGCAGCGCCCAGAGGCTCTTGGCGGCCGCCGCCGGGTGGGCGGGCGCCAGCCGAGGGGCCTCCATTCATTCCCTCATTAGGATGCGGGCCGCCCCCTCCCCGGCCGCGCGCTCCGCCCGCCCGCACCGCCAGGGGTTATTTTTGTTTCTCGCCCCGCCCGCCGGGTTTACGGTCGGCCGGGAGCCTCTGCTGCCTTAGTTTTTATTCCTCTTCGAGGTTTGCGGGCTGGGGAGACGGGGAGCCGATGCAAATAAGTGCCCCCCCACCTCTGTCTCTGTGTCTTTCTGTGTGTTTCTCTCTCTCTCTCTCTCTCTCTCTCTCCCCCTCCCTCCCTTTCTCCATCCCTCCCTTCTTTTTCTGCCCCCTCTCTCTTCTCTCTGTTCTTTCTCTGCTTTCCTTTTCTCTCTCTCTAGGTCCCTTGTTCTCTCTCCCTCCCTTTCTCTTCTCTTCTTTCTCTGCTTTCCTCTTCTCTCTCTCTCTCTATCTCTCCCTATTCTTTTTCTGCCTCCCTCCCTTTCTTGTCTCTCTCGTCTCTCTCTCGTCTCTCTCTCCCTCCCTCCCTTTGTCCATCCCTCCCTTCCTCTTCATTTTCTGCCCCCTCTCTCTTCTCTATTCTTTCTCTGCTTTCCTCTTCTCTCTCTTTCGCTCCTTTTTTCTCCCTCCCTCCCTTTCTCTTCTCTCTCTTCTTTCTCTGCTTTCCTCTTCTCTCTCTGCTTTCTCTCTCTGCTGTCTCCTCTCTCCCCCCCTCCCCTCCCATCCTACACCTTTTCTCTCGGGACTCTTTCTATTCTTAAATTCTCCCCCGCCCCCATTGTTCGACTCCTGGCTTCCCCTGAGCCCTCTTTCAGTCCACTTTCACGGAGCCTTTGGGTTCAGGGTCACCCTCACAGTTGGACAAAGGGCACAAAGGCCCCCGAAAAGCCAGCACTCTTGGAGGGACAACAGAAGAACCCTTTAACGCGAGGAGCTCAGTCCCCGACGGCGCGTCCTGCCTTGCGAATGAACAGGTGGACGAGGTCCCCGCACCCGCAGCACCCCGGGAGTGGGTGAGACCCTGGAATCACGACTTCTGCCGTCCGAGCGTCACTTCCTGGGACACGAGGAAGTGCCACTTAGGCGAGCTTGTTTAGGGAGGGCAGAGAGCTGCCTTTGATTTGGCTCCTGTCCTATCCCTTCCAAGTGGCTTCCTCATCCTTCCATCCACCTGCCACTCGCGTCCTACAGACATCCTGCATGTAGTGAGTGCATTGTTCCAGAACACATTAGCCCTTTAGTAAGCAGTGCTGCTGTCCCCAAGCTTAATTCAAGAGCTTGCAATTTGCACACTCAGCCTCTAGGACAAAAGCCTTACCATCTTTCTATTTCTCTTTTTTCCAGTATTTCTTTTTCACATCCTTTCATGGATGCACAGGAAGCTAAAAGGAGCAATAGGCGAGGATAGATGCGTTTTATTGAGCAACTTTCATAAGACTCCAGTGGGACTCTTAATGATGGTGGGAAAATCCTCCTCTCTCCTGAATTCATCCATTCGAAAGAAGAAATCCTGCACCGGGTGGTTTTTATCCTGACTCATTAAAGGTTGTTTCTGAAAAGTTAACACTTGACCCTTAAAGCATGGGCCCCAGAACCTAAAAGTAGCAAACAAATCCCTAAGAAAATAAAAATTCTCACTCAGTGAACAGTCACTCCTAGAACACCATCTGTGTGTTTATTTCTCTAGCATTTTATATTGTAAACACCTCTCAGTTTCACAAAGCAAATGAAAATCACAAGACCCCTTTGGTGGTCATTGCCACTGCTCAAATAGCATTCAGGCTTTGGAACTGCAAGGCTGCCTCTTGAATTATGGAGTGTCACGTTTTTGTAGTCCTTCTTCAGAGATCCTGAATCACCAAGACATATTGATGTCCAACTCAAACTGGCACTTTTCTGGTAACTGGAGCCACTGCTGCCTACAGGGGCTGGTCACACAGTGTCCATTGACCACTACTGCCATGCCAGAGTGCCTTAAACCTTACATTACAATAGCACCTGTGTTAACCTGAGAATAAACAAGTTTCTCTGAAAAGGAGGTTCACCTCTGGAATATGAATCATTTCTTCAGCTGGTAGCTTGGCTTGCACTCTTCGAAATGTATTCGCACTCTCCGCTATTTCTTAATCCTGTGGTGCCCCTGGTAGACATATTTATTTCTATTTTACAAAATTCTTCTGAGTTAACCTTTTCAAGATCATGGATATGTCAGGTTAATGCGATACAGAAGATAACAGAACTATGTGCTAGTGTTCAGTTTGCACCAGTCATGAGACCCAGAAGCCCACCCCTGTAAGGCATGAAGTTTAGAGACAGAGCTCAAAGAAAAGCCTGGATTCTAACACAGTGGTTTCCACGTGTCTGACTCTCATAGCAGTATTGGCCACACTGTGCTCATATATTGAACTTTTCTGAGCGTTATATAATAATATGAAGGGATACTTATCTTTTAAGTCAATGCCCCAAACAATTTTATAACAATGGAAATGCATTCAAAGGAAATCATTATTGTGTAACTCAAATCCATAATTCTGCCTAACAAAATAGTCAAGAAACAACTATATCTAAAGAAAATTGGGCATTCAAACAATCCTATTAATACAGTCTTAGACTTGGTATATGATGAAAATGTACTTTGCATAGGTTAAAAAAAACTCTGTTTAAAAAAAAAAGTTATGTACCCTTATGTGATTTCCCTGAAAATGGCACTGGGCAGTATTGTGATGGAATCAAAACTATCTAGTCCCTAACGAAAATGCTCATAAACAAAATGTTCCTGGGTAACTTCTCATGGCAGTGACTACGGAGAAATGATAAGAGGAATATTTTAAGGCTTTGAGTAATTTTCTCTAGGGTTATCAACCAAAAACAGCATTGTCTATCATCATCTGTATGATGGAATACTTTTTAAAAACTATACTATCCAGCAGATAGGCATAAGCTACCTGTGGCTCTTGAGCATTTCAAATGTTGCTTGAATGTTTGATTTACTTTTCAATAATTTAAACTCAAAAGCTGATTTATTTTGAAAATCTTATGTTGTTTGAAAAAAACAAAACAGAATCTACCTTTACAACTGTATATTTTCTAAAATCTAATACAGACCAAATATGTCTAAAGAAAATTTATCACTGACTTAGTGTCTGTCTTGAAAGTACAAAGCACAAAACAGATTTTCAAAGACTTAGTAGAGAAAAAAGAATGTGAGATATGTCACCAATAAATACTCCAGATTAAAATGCTACTATTTTGATATACTGAGCTAAATAAAATATATTAAAATTAATTTCAACTTTCTTTTTCTTATTTTTTTCAAGTGTAAATCCTAAAATTAAAAAAATGAACTTACAGCATATGTCTGTTAGATAACATTTCACTATGAGGTTAGATTGAGAATAAAGATGTTTAGTTCCTGAAAAATCAAAGGCCTTGATTAGAAGTTATTAATAATTTGTTCTGTGGAAGAGTGGTACCCAACAGACATTTACTAGGAACCACTCTACCACATGCCAAGCTGTGCTGTTCAAAGAGAATATTCTTCACCTGGTGATTACCAGCATTAGCTTACAATCTTTCTAAAGAGCTAAGTGGAAAACATATTGAAATCATACAAATGAATATTAACAGACAGCAGTCATTTGTAAGCAAAGACTATCAAACGAGACCAATGCCGCTGTTAACAGGAAATTCCCAAAATTCACATTTACTATATTGTGTGCTTTATGCTCATCTAGTGTCTAGTAGACTTGGCCAGTCAATAGCTATTTATTGAGAGCATACTTAGTTTCAGGTAACATAGGCTTTTTTTCTTTTTTTAGTGTTACTGGGGTTTGAACTCAGGGCCCCACACCAGGTGTTTGAGCCAAGCCTCCAGTCCCTTTTTGCTTCAGGCATTTTTCATATAGGGTCTCATGTTTTCGCTTAAGATGGGCCTCAAACCACAATCCTCCTACCTACTTGTTCTGCATAGCTGGTATCACAGGAAGCTTGTTTGTTAACTTTTTGCCTGGACTGGCTTTGAACTGTGATACTTCCATTGTCTACCTTCCAATTAGCTGGGATTATAGGAGTGAACTACTATACCCAGCACTATAGACCATTTGTAATTTTGTATTGAACCATTCAAGGAAAGTACAGAATAGGCAGTTCTGTATGGTAACAGAGTGGACCCAGCTAAGAGAAACATGGTTGATGCACATCAGGGAAGAACCCCATTTCCTTTCATAAATAAACTAGGTCCTGATTACATTCTTGTGGTTAGTTAGAACACATTTTTTATTGTGTGTCAACATACACTACTCAAAATGTGGACTCACTGAAATTTACAGGGGTCCCAAGAGAAAAAGATATATTTTGCAAGCTAAAAGGCTGCTGCCTCTTGCATAGTATATAAGGTCATAGAGGATAGAAAAGTCCTTGTAATTATTTAAATGACACTAGTCTTCATAGCCATCAGT